CCACGGATTCGAGCCACACCGCAGCAACGCCAAGGCCTTCAAGTCCCTGCAGCTGAGGAGGAAGGAAGGGGGAAGAGGAGAGTTCAACCCCCTAATAGGCTGACCTATGATGCGCCGGGAAAGCAGGGCAAGACAGCCCTGGCCGGAGCGGCAATGATGGTCGGAGACGACGAGGAGAGTGACTACGAGGAGTGTGCCTTCGCGTTCTTCTCTCCGGTGGAGATGCCGGGAGAACCAGCAACTCTCAAGGAGGCTTTGGAGAGTAGTGATGCTGAGGAGTGGAAGAAGGCCATGGAGAGTGAGCTGAAGAGCATCGAGGAGAATGACACGTTTGAATTGGTGGAGCTACCGGAGGGGCGTACGGCGATAACGTCCAAGTGGCTCTTCAAAATCAAGTCGGATGCCGACGGCAAGATCGAGCGCTACAAGTCTAGGCTTGTAGCCAAGGGGTACCAGCAGAAGGAGAAGGTGGACTTCAAGGAGCTGTTTGCCCCTGTGGTGAAGCCGACGACGCTGCGAACCCTATTCGCGGGAGCCGCCATCAAAGGATGGGTAGTAAAGCAAGTGGACATCGTAACGGCATTCCTTAACGGCATCCTTGAGGAGGAGATTTTTATGGCGCAGCCAGAGGGGTTTGATGATGGTAGTGGCAGAGTGTGGAAGCTGAAGAAGGCCCTCTATGGGCTGAAGCAGGCCCCTAGGCAATGGTACATGAAGCTGCGCGAAGTGTTGGAGGGGATCGGCTTCACTCCCTCAACGGCCGATCACTCCTTGTTCATGCTTGGCGAGGGGGAGCAGAGGAGTTTCATGGTGGTTTATGTGGATGACATCCTCATTTTCTCACCCTCTTCTGACCTTGTGAAGGAGGTGATGCTGAAGCTTCAAGACAAGTTCAAGTGCAAGGCCCTTGGTGACGTGAGCTTCTACCTTGGGCTCCACATCGAACGAGATGTGGAGAAGCGGTGCATGCGGGTGCATCAACGAAAGTACCTGGAGGCATTGGCTGCCAACTTTGGGCAGAGTGAAGGCCATGTGGCTACACCCTTTCCCTCTGGGTTCAAGTGTGTGAAGGGACCAGAGGAGGAGAGCGTTGGTGAAGAGGAGAGGCGCCGATTTCACTCGTTGGTGGGCAGCCTCATGTATGCGGCGGTAAACACCCGACCGGACGTCGCGTTTGCTACCGGGCAGCTGGCTAGGGTTGTGCAATGCCCTAATGAGGAGCAGGTAGCAGCTGGAATGAGGGTGGCCAAGTATCTTGGCCAAACACCGACCGTTGGGCTGCAATACTCGGCGGCGGCACAAAGGCGCCAAAAGGGCGCGGATGGTGTTGAACCCGGGCGTTTGTTCCTCACCGCCTACTCGGATGCTTCATATGCATCAGAACCAGAGGACATGACAAGTGTGGGAGGCTTCATATGCTGTGTTGGTGGAGGCCCAACTGCTTGGGAGAGCAAGAAGCAGGTTGACCAAGCTTTGAGCTCGGTGGAGTCCGAGTACATGGCACTCTTCCGTGCCGTACGGGAGATTGTGTGGCAGCGGCGTTTGTTGGCTGAATTGGGGGAGGAGCAGCAAGGACCTACCCCACTGTACTGTGACAGCCAGGGTGCCATTGCTCTTGCTAAGAACCCTGTGTTGCATGGACTCACGAAGCACATGAGGGTGAAGTGGCATTGGACGAGGAGCATGGTAACCGCGGGTGAAGTTGAGTTGCGCTACGTGAAGACCACGGGGCAGCCGGCTGACATGATGACCAAGAGGCTGGTGGAGCAGCAGCATTGGAAATGTTGCAAGCTGGCTGGGATGGCTCTGAACTGAGAGAGCAACATATCCTAAGGCCAACAATCCGAGGGGGAGTTTGTTGGTGCAACCCTACGGTTTGCACTCGGCTTGTTGTCCGTGTGCGTGAATGTGTGTGTGTATGGAATGGTATGAGGGCATGGGATAATATATATTTCATGCTTATAATTGTGTGTGAATGTTGAGTCATGATGTCGAGTGTGTGTGTCGAGTCAATAGCGAGTTATCGCTAGACGCGAGTTACGCGGTCGTTTGTGTCTCGCGCGCGGTTTCTATTTTGTCGTGCGCGGTTTCTATTTTGTCCTGTGTCGAACGTTCGGCGTGTCGCAGGTGTGTGCAGCAGACCCATCAAGAACTCAAGGATGAGTTTGTGATGAAGAGCCCGAGCCTTGGTGTCAAGCCTCAAGTGATTTCGAAGCTCGCCAAAAAGGGTACACCTCAAGATATTGAAGATAGTTACATTACTTTGTGTAGTGTAACATTTCACTTGGTGTAGGCCCTAGTGCAGGGTAGTTTCGAGACCCTTCGTGGTTGGGGACAGTGTGGCACTGTTCCACATCACTGTACCTCGGCTCTTGGGGTTTGTAGGAGCTGGGAGTCATTCCCAACTCGTAACTCTTCCTATCTTGTGTTCTAAGACTATAGTGGCTGCCATAGTACCGTTCGTTCAAACCGACGCTGTGTCGTCAATTCTTTATCAAATCGTGCAATCTAAATTGCTAATTGTAGACGACGTGAAGACGCTCCAGATCCAATTTGAATCAAGTCATTTGTAGCTGTGAGCAGAACGCTATCAACGTTTGAAGCCGCTGTGCAGAAATCCGTCTGTGCTCCCTATCTTTCGTTTTAGGCACATTCAAGCCTATTGTGACTATAACAAAGGTGAGGACGCTGAGAGTTGCCATAGCGGGCAGGGCAGGCGGGCGCGCTAGCAGCAGGGTGGCGCACAGGCAGATCACGGCAGGGCGGCAGCCAGCAGGGCGGCACGCGGGCAGGGCAAGGCAGCGCGGGGGCGAGTGGCGCTCAGGCAGGGCGGCGCGGCGGCTAGCGGCGCGCGGGCAGGGCAGGGTGGCGCGGCTGCGAGCGTCGCGCTAGCAGGGCAGGGCGGCGCGGCGGATAGCGGCACGCAGGCAGGGCAGGGCGCGCGGCGGCGAGCAGCGCGCGGGCAGGGCGGCGGCGCTGCGGCGAGCGGCGCACGGGCAGGGCGGCGGCGCGGCGGCGGGCAGCGCGCAGGCAGGGCAGGGCGCGCGGCGGCGAGCAGCGCACGGGCAGGGCGGCGCGGCGGCGAGCGGCGCGCGGGCAGGGCAGAGCGCGCGGCGGCGAGCAGCGCGCGGGCAGGGCGGCGGCGCTGCGGCGAGCGGCGCACGGGCAGGGCGGCGGCGCGGCGGCGCGGCGGCGGGCAGCGCGCGGGCAGGGCAGGGCGCACGGCGGCAAGCAGCGCGCGGGCAGGGCGGCGCCGTGGCGAGCGGTGCGCGGGCAGGGCAGGGCGCGCGACGGCGAGCAGCGCGCGGGCAGGGCGGCGCGGCGCGGCGGCGAGCGGCGCGCGGGCAAGGCGTGCGCGGGCAGCGCGACGCAGGGCAGGGCGTGCACGGGCGGCGCAACGCAAGGCAGGTCGTGCGCAGGGCAGCGCGACGCAGGGCAGGGCAGGGCAGCGCGGCGCTAACAGGGCGGCGCGACGTGTGGGGTAGCGCGATTCGGTGGGCCCTAAAAAAAAACGGTCCTAGGCTAGGACCTGCTCTGAAACCATGTCGAAATAGCTGAACGAGGATGAATGAACTAGCAGCAAGATGGGTACAAGTACTAACCCTAAGTGGGTTGTACCCTATATGGGCTACCCCACTACAGCCTATACAACATGCAACATATAAGTATGACAATAACAGGCGATCACGCACCGGCTATATCTACCGACTCGAGCCTATCGGTCCTATCTTGTGGCAGTCGAGCAAGCAAGAGCTAATTGCTCTCTCTTCAGCTGAAGCAGAATACATAGCACTCTGCTCAGCCACCAAGGAAGGGCTGTACCTTCGCGAACTACTGGAAGAAGCAAAACTGGCCCAGTTACCCAGCTTCTCCCTCTTCTGCGACAACCAATCAGCAATTCGCATAGCGAACAAGAACAGGTTCGCGAACCGAACGAAACACATCGCCCTGCGATATTTCTTCTTGAAGGACGAGATCGAGAAAGGAAGACTCGAGCTATCCTACTGCCCCACATCCGAGATGGCAGCAGATTACTTGACCAAGAAACTTGGAAAGCAGAAGTTCGAGTACTGCATGCTGCTGACTGGACAAGGCCACGTCACCAGCAACGACACTCCATAAGCAAAGGGGAGTGTTGGAAACATGTAGTTTGCGCTTCTGATGTGTCGAAGTAGTAAATCGTAAGTGAGGCAGACTACAGCAAAGCAACAGCGAGTCAAACGAAGAAGTTGACAAAAGTAACAGCAAGGAGGTTAAGCGAAGGTCAAAGGTCAGCGACCTTTGACTCATCGAAAGGCAGCGCGACAGCAAGGACAACCAACTGACTCACTACTGAGCAGTTGCCCGAGTCGCAGCTGTATCGAATCGCATCAGCAACAGTTAGTTATGTCTTTTCATATTCTTTTGTAATCATATAAAGCCTTGTACTACTTTACTATAATCAATCTATCTTGCTCTCACACACTAGTGCAAGGTGGTTCAACCAGTTCACTACAACGCTTCCGCAATTACATCATCACTTCGAGTCTTAGCCTTGAAACGATCCTAAGGGCTTTTATCAGCCCAACAACGACCTGTACCCGAACTGACGCTTGACCGTAAAAAAATCTTGGGGCATTGCGTACGACTTGACTCCACTGGGCGCCACGTAGACTTCTTGATTCGCAGGACCAACACATGGACGACACATGGGTGCCATCCAGGCCCTCAGATTCGTTTTTGGCCTGTCTGATTTGTCAGACTTGTCTACAGTTTTTGTCTGAAACTGTTAGAGTCGGTTTTTATAAAAAGCTGAAATTTCAGAGTCACCATAAAAAAAAGTCTGAAACGTTCAGACTCATCCTCACTGGGAGTCTGATCTGTTTGTGATTGGCCTTCGTTGAACTACATTAGATTGGCCTACAACATTTGACATTAGACTAGACTAGACTAGCCTACATTAGACAGTTGTAACTACCTTACAGACTCTACATCCTTCCTACCTATCTAAGTTATCCACCCTACTCATCAAATCCATCATCATCATTACTGTCAGATGCATCATTGTCCTCTTCTATGTCTTCTACTTCCATCACCTCATCTGCCAGCTTGGCCTTGTTCTGATGCTTTCCTGCAGGCGGGAGTGGAGCGTTGCTGTGGGGCTTGTGCTTCTTGTAGGCCCTCCAGATTGTCACAATCTCCTCCCACTTGGGCTCGTAATCCATGAGACTCATGCACATGAGATCTCCAAGCCGTGCGTCCTTCAGCGCGCCTCTCTGCCACGACTTGATAATGTTCTGCCTGGAGAACCCCCGCTCGCACTCCACATTGCTCAGCGGCAGTGCAGCTACCGACACCCACAAAAGCACAAGGTTGGGGTAGTTGTCCGCCAATCGGGTGTCTTGAGCATGGCTGTGAGCCTTGCGTGGAAGCTGCGCTCGCCCTTGGTAGAGGCTGCAAGCACTGAGGTGAACATGCGCAACTCCTTCTCTGCACGGCGCTTGTTGACTCCTGGAGGGGTTGGGAAAAGGATATCAAAAGAACAAAATGTGTACACAAGTACAAACATACATTGAAGAGTAGCACATCACACAAACAGAGCAACGATGAAGCATGATATAACGGCCATTCAATAGGCTTACCTGGCGGTATCTCTTCCGTCATGTCGGCCTTGAACAAAGTCACAAGCGACCGTAGCCACTGAAGGCACCTCCGATTCCTCTCTACTCGATCCAGCGGGTACTCGTCTGGGATGAATAGCTTTGCCCCAGACATCCCTTCCAGGTCGCCAAGCCGATGCTCGAGTTGGTGAACGATCACCTCCGCGAACTCCGTGCAGACCTCCACGCAGTCATCGTGGGTCCCGCGCCCTTCGAACTCCTCCAGCTCGTCCTCATGCAGCCTGAAGGTGAAGCGTGCAGGACGGCCGTCTGAGTCAACCCCTTCGACTTTCACCTCCCGGTTTCCACCTGGCCCATGGCGCGCAATGAAGGGGGACAGCAGCTTGCTCACGCCGCCACCGAAGTCGTCGCCGCAATCAACGTAGCGGCTCTCGATGTGGGACGTTGTGCGCTTGATCTGCGCATGCACGCTCGCATAGTCAAGCAGGACAGAAACAAGACAGATGGTAGTTAGTGGCAATTGACGGTAAACATGCAGGATTATAGCAGAATGGCCACCGCACAAAACAAAAATGATAGAAAACAATGAGCTTACTCACTTCCTTGTGCTGGAACGCCCTGTTCAGGATGTTGAGCTGCTCAAGCACATCTGCAATGAAGAAAAGAAGGAAATGAAACTTGTAACTTGTCACAAGAGCATACAGCTTTGCGTCCCACTCCTTCAGCATCACGATGAGAGCCGGAAGCACAGCAACAAGCCTGAGCACTGCGTCGCCCCGTGAAAGCCAGCGGACGGAATGAATGCCCTGGAGCTCAAGAGAAGTGGAAGCGAAAACTTCTTAGAGCCCCATGAACCGTTGGTGCCATGGCCCTGAACGGTCAAGATGCTCTGCCACGGTGCGGATCACCATGTCAATGACATTGAACGCCGGAATCTTCTCGGCGGCTGTTTTAGCCGCCGGTGCCTCCCTGTACAACAAAAATAATAACATTAGTATATCGGGAAGGTCAACAAACTTAAAAAACGCACGGCAAGTTTATGCAACAACCGACATACCTGTGCGCGATACAGTGGGATGACACCAGATGGGGGATGCGCAGGCGGAGGCGGGTGGTGAGGCCAGACTTGCTGCCCATCATGACGTTGGCACCGTCGGTGCTGATCCCCGCGATGCGCTGAAGGTCGATCCCGACTGCCTGCAGATGCGACAGCAGAATACGCAGAAGAGAAGCGGCGTCGGACTTCTCCACGATAAGTAACGCCATGAACTCCGTGACAAGCTTGTTGTCATGGATGAACGTGACAAAGAGGATCAGGTGCTTCCCGCTGCACCTATCCGTGCTCTCGTCAATCGAGATGCCGACGAAGGGCGATGCCAGCACGTGTTCAAGCTGGGTTGTCTGGAGCCATGTCGCAGTCGCTTGCGTCAGCTCACCGAAGCCGTATCTGCACATGGGAACAACAGTGAGAACATTAGTATAGAAATAAAACATTGACCTACCGATGTGTATTAAATAGCTTCCGGCAGTTGCACTCACGTGGTGTAATAGGTGCCGTACCCCTTCTTCGGGAAGCCGGGCACGCCCTTCTCCGCCAGGTAACGCACCAACCTCACCCACATCCCCATGGGCGCGTCGGACCTGCTGATGAACAGCAATGAGTCGAGAAGGGCGACGACGCGCATCTGCTCTCCGTCCACTGTGGCGCGATGCTGGTCAATCTGCGGCTGCCTCGCACCGCACTCCTGCACAGCCGTTTGTCTCGCCATCGCCAGCTTGTGCTTCGCTGTGCCCGCGTGCTTACGAAAAGACTGGGTCTGCAAGTTAGTGTAAGGAAAACCCCCTTTTCCTTACTAGGGTTTATTGTTTCGCGTACAACCCATACTTTTCGGAAGTGCATGTTCGGCCGGTTTGCTTGCTGCCGAAGCAACCTCGCGTCGCCTTCGGTTTCCCTTCGCCCAACCTGCGCCCAGACTCGTGTTCCCTAGGTTGACCTGCTAAATAATCGAGTGCCTTTCATTGTACCATATCGTCAGTTGATTTAGTCTCAAGCTTCGTTATTCGTTTTTTTCGTGCAACTCGGACAATCTCACCTTAACACCTTGACACGTTAGTTTTGCTCTTTCATTTACACGTGTAACAGTTATCATACATTCTGCGCTCTCTAGAACCTAACGCATAACACAACCTGTTAGCACTGGTACGGTAAAAGGTTTGAGTAACATTATTGAGATACTATGATGGACACATTCTGAAGCACAATGCTCGACCATACGTTGAAAACATTTGATAAGGACGTACCATTTATCCATGGCATATTCCAATAAGAATTTGTAATGGCAGAATGCACGTATGAAAATGGAATGAACGCTCCTATAGACGACCTTTCCTGCGAAAGAATCTTCACTTGGTCGTACAACCCAAATGCTGTCCAGAGTAATGTTTCACGCTCAGTCTGCGAGCATGCAGAGATGGAATTCCACCGTATGCCGCTCCATGCCTTGTTCCTCACAACAGTTGACAGATTCTTTTGGCTGTTAATAATCTCCTTCAAGCATCTGCTTGCATATGTGTTGTTATTCGGCAGCAGGTTACCAATCATGGCTGCTACATAGTCAAAGGGCGTGTGGAAGAGGAAGAGCGGTGTGGAGGTGTTGTGAAGAGTGTACTGCGGGAAGAAGCACCGCCACTGCTGTGCCGGCCTCGCTGCTGTGTTGGGGGAGGGGGGAGAAGGGGGCGAGGCAGGGGGGTCTGGGCAGGTGAGGTAGCATGGGGGCAGATGAGGTAGCATGGGGGCAGATGAGGTAGCATGGGGGCAGATGAGGTAGCATGGGGGCAGATGAGGTAGCATGGGGGCAGATGAGGTAGCATGGGGGCAGATGAGGTAGCATGGGGGCAGATGAGGTAGCATGGGGGCAGATGAGGTAGCATGGGGGCAGATGAGGTAGCATGGGGGCAGATGAGGTAGCATGGGGGCAGATGAGGTAGCATGGGGGCAGATGAGGTAGCATGGGGGCAGATGAGGTAGCATGGGGGCAGATGAGGTAGCATGGGGGCAGATGAGGTAGCATGGGGGCAGATGAGGTAGCATGGGGGCAGATGAGGTAGCATGGGGGCAGATGAGGTAGCATGGGGGCAGATGAGGTAGCATGGGGGCAGATGAGGTAGCATGGGGGCAGATGAGGTAGCATGGGAGCAGATGAGGTAGCATGGGGGCAGATGAGGTAGCATGGGGGCAGATGAGGTAGCATGGGGGCAGATGAGGTAGCATGGGGGCAGATGAGGTAGCATGGGGGCAGATGAGGTAGCATGGGGGCAGATGAGGTAGCATGGGAGCAGATGAGGTAGCATGGGAGCAGATGAGGTACCATAGGGGCAGGTGGGGTTGGAGGGGCGGTGCAGTGCGGTGAGGTTCTGAGCCAGCGAGCGAAAGGTGTAGTTCATAGCGCGGTCACGTGTGTCTGTGGGGGGGAAGTCCGACAGGGTTGATGGATTGTTGTTGCACGACAGAGGAAGGAAGAGATAGATGAAGAAGACACAAGAAGTGGCCTTGAGTGTTGCACGAGGTGATCAAGCTGTGCGTGCCTCGTTCAAACACTCTGTGCACTGCTGGAGAGAGCGCACTCACTGCACCTCACTGTGTCCAAACAGGTTACTAGCTGGTGAGGTTAGCCAACCGCTCCCATAAATAACATGCGAAAAGCACACCTTCACACGCCCAAAATGTTCCTTCCTTAGCAATAACGCTTCAGCTTCAGAGTTGGAGGCTTGCCTACTCACGTGGAGACCACACGTAGCACACGGAACAGTGTTGAGAAGGCGTTGGAGGATACTAGGTGAAGGGCGGTGGGGCGTACCAAGGAAGAAGCCCGAGTCAACGAGGCAGCGCGTGGAGGCAGATGGGAAGGACGACGCCAGCCAATCACAGAGGTTCACTGTCGCCTGCCCTCCTGCTGAGCTGCCTGAAAGAAGAATCTGTGAGGCTGAGCGCATGTCACGCTTCTGAACGAGGTCTGCATGGCAGGAGGGGCAGAGGCAAGGCGGCGAGGCGGGCGAGAAGGAGAGGATGTGAAGAGGCAAGGCGGCGAGAACGAGGTAAAGAGTGCAAGGGGACAGGCGGGGAGAGAGAGGGAGGGTGGGGTTGGAGTGCCAAGGGATGGAGAGCAGGCAGCACTGAGACGAGCGAGGCGAGACGAAACGATATAGGTGAGAGGAGGGGAGAGGCCGGACGAGGTCAAGGAGGGGCGAAAGGGAGAGCGGGAAATGGGGACCTAGTGGTGAGTGGCTGGTGCCATGGCAGTATGAGGTTGAAGACACCGCGTGCACTGCAGACAGCAAAGGGGGCACACGCAGAGCACAGTGGAGTGGGCGAGCGGGTGGCGCACCTTGAATCACGGCCTGAATGATGTTCCACCCGTCCAGGTAAATGGCTGACGTCGTGGATGCGGATGACTTCGTTGACCCGGTTGACTTGGTTGACTTGGTGGAATTGGAAGGGCTCGTTGAGTTGGCAGCGGCGCTTGCGTTCGGAGGGACAGCAGCAGCAGCAGAGACGTTGAGCGCACCCCTGGTGCCGGCGTACCCGCCCCCATCGCAGTAGATGAGGCGCACGAGGTTCCACTGGTACATCGCGGGGTTCTGCTGCGCGCTGCCCGACAGAATGCCCTCGAACGGCGGCCTCAGCTGCGCCGCCTGCAGCCGCGCGGGAGAGGGGGGAGGCGGAAGGAGGGTGGGGGGGGAGGACAGAGGAGGGGGGGGTGGAAATTGTGAGGGGCACGCGTACTAAGCGGATCGGAAGACGGCATGCCGTGATGGGGGGATGAGCGAGGCGGAATGGGGATGGAGATATTTGCACCAATTTGGGATAAAAAAAGGTCGACAGAGAAGGACTCATTTTCGCAAGAATCAGAAGAAAGCAAGGCTTGAATAAAGGACAAGGGAGTGGGGAACATTAGGGGAGAGGAGCGAAAAGAAGAATACAGGAACAGTGTTCGAACGCCCCCCCCGTTCGAACGCCCCCCCCCCCCCCCCGTGACTGGCGGAGTCGGGAGGTCTCACATAGTGCGCGGGGTTGGCGGGGAAGCTCTTGCTTGACCCCAGGCGCGTGCCGGCTCTGGCGGCGCAGTCGGCGGGGGTGACGCACCACGCGCCTCCGGGCAGGTAGATGTGCCACCGGAGACGGCCCGTTGCCGCGCCTGGGCGGAAGTAGTACCCGGGGGGACTGCGCGGGCCGAGGTAGAGGGGAAAGGTAAGGGAACGGGGTGTTTGAGGTTTCTGGGCGGGTCGAAGGCGCTGGAAGGCGGAAGTGGCGGCTGCGCCGACCAGCTGCTCCGCGTGGCGGCAACTCCCGCGGGTGGCTGAGCTGCCAGAGAGCCCACGGCGCGTCGCCACTGTGTGCACGCGGGGACATGGCGAGGGGGGTGACGGGAGGGCGGAAGAGTGCGACGGGGAGTCAGCGAGGAGGGAAGACGTCGCAGACCAGCTGGAAGGAGGGGGAAGAAGGGACGGGAAAACGCAGCGTACGGGTGTTCCTTTCCAACGTCCGCGATTTGAGCAGAGCCACACTCGGCTCGCGACCAGCCACGATCGCACCACGACAGGGTGGGCGCGCGTGCAAGGAGTGGAGGCCCACTCTTTCGGCGTCGAGGGGCTGTCGAGTGGATATGGGGTGCCTGTAAATCCTATCGCGCCTGAGGGCGCGGATGAGTGGTCCGGCGAACGCAGGAGAATTGAGTGCACGGGAGCCCGCGAGATGCCAGTGTGCTTACGCAAGCAGCCGGGGTAAGCTGTTCAGCGTGCGACTACCATGGTGGGAAGAGACTCGATTTCCATTTAGTCAGCCGCGAGCTTGCTCCTTCCGCAACCTCCGACAACTCTCGCAACCTCCGTCGCGACTATTATAAACCTTTCGCTGCGGACAGCTGGCTGGCTAGTAAGTACCTTCCGTCGAGGCATTTAGCGCCGAACGTGTTGTTCGCAAGCAGGACGAGCGTGGCGTTTGGTGTCACTGCTGGCTGCGCCTTCCGCAACTGCCGCCGCGGAGTGCCAGCTGTCGAGCAAACGGGAGTGGCGATGAGTGCAACTGTGAGGGGAAGGAGCAGCGAGAGCTGCCTAATACACATGACTTGGGGCGGAAGAATCAGGGCCAACCACGCGACTGTGCTGCCTGTAAGTGAGTCTAGACCGAACGTGAGATGTTATCCTCTTCTCAAGGCGACCCAGTGACTCACGATGACAATGACGATTCTACTCTCCATGTGGCTGGAGAGTAGAGTGTCTCGAGAGGACACTGAGTGAGTGGTCGGTGAGGCAGCATCTGTTGTGTTGAAAATGCCGAGCGCAGAAACTCGTATCAAAACTCAGAATGCACTATCCGCGGCTCGGTTCAACTCAATTAGCGGCGCGAGCGAAAAAACAAGCATGTTCAACGCACAGAGCACGCCATGTGGCAGAGGGAAGCGCACCTTGGCCGTGTTTGATTCGCCAGCGGTGTGGTCGTGGGAGCGAACTCTGGCACGGTAGGGTGTTTAGGTTTGGCAATACTCAGTCGAGGACTCCTTTACAGAATATCCTCAAGTGTAAATATTATGTGTTAGGCCGTTCCTACTAAATGCCTTAATGTGTTAGAATGGCTCAAATCTAAACTGCTGATACAATGCAAAAAACACCACCGGCATTTGTAACTGATTCTAAAGGAATTGAAAACAGTGTAACGCCCCCTCCTGATTCTTTATGAGGGCTTGAATTAAATACCTCAAATTTCTATCTTACCCATATGAAATCTTCTGTCAACTATCATAGTTATAGGCTGTAGTGAGATGCATTTTAGAGGGTACAGATGTTAGGGTTTCCTATTTGTATCCAACACTTTGCTAGTTCATTCATTCCGTTGCATTCTAACTTTCAGATGGTATCACGAGTAGGTTAGTTCCTCGTTACCTCCTAGCCCGCGCCCTCTCTAGCGCACCTCCGCGCCCTCCGCGCCCTCTCCGCACCTTAGCGCCCTCCTCCGCGCCTTAGCGCCCTCCGCGCCCCTAGCCCACGCCGTTGCGGACCTCCGCGCCTAGCGCTCTCCGTGCCTAACGCCCTCCGCGCCCCTATCCCACGCCGTCGCGGACCTCCACGCCTAGCGCCCTCCGCGCCCCTAGCCTGCGCCCCTAGCCCGTCGCCCAGGCCCTCGCCCTAGCCCGTCGCCCAGGCCCACGCCCTAGCCCGTCGCCCCAGCCCGCGCCCTAGCCCGTCGCCCAGGCCCGCGCCCTAGCCCGTCGCCCCGGCCCGCGCCCTAGCCCGTAGACCCACCCCGCGCCCTAGGCCGTCGCCCCAGCCCGCGCCCTAGCCCGTCGCCCAGGCCCACGCCCTAGCCCGTCGCCCCAGCCCGTGCCCTAGCCCGTCGCCCAGGCCCGCGCCCTAGCCCGTCGCCCCGGCCCGCGCCCTAGCCCGTCGCCCAGGCCCGCGCCCTAGCCCGTCGCCCCGGCCCGCGCCCTAGCCCGTCGCCCCAGCCCGCGACCTAGGCCCGCGCCCTCGCCTTAGCCCACGCCCTCGCCTAGGCCCGCGCCCTCGCCTTCGCCCCCGCCCTCGCCTAGGCCCCGCGCCCTCGCCTTAGCCCTTGCCCTCGCCTTAGGCTGCGCCCTAACCCACGCGCCACCTCCTCCTCACGTCCCAACCGCCACTTCTCACCTAGCCACCGCCCTGTCCCCCGGGCTAAAACCGTTCCTACTGCTACAGGCTTTCCACTCAGCGGCTGGCAGCCGCTACTCTCACCGGTCGCCTAGGTTAGACCCGTGTGGCCACCAGCTCCTAGCCACTAGCTCCGCCGATCTCTTGCCTCTCCACACTTGGCGCTCCTAGATTTCCCTCCTCGCTCTTAGACCCGCCTCCTCCGTGCTCCAGCCGCCTATAGCATGGCCTCCATTATGGAATCCCGCCGCCTTCGTTTTGATGAGGAGGGACGCCCGATCGAGTTCAGTACCTGGCAGCGCCAGACCACGCGCTACCTCACCAGTCAGTGTCAGGACGGCGCCACCCTGTGGGCCCATGCATCTGGTGCCCTCAAGGCGCCCCAGTCCCCCGCCCCCCTGCCGACCAGCCCAGAGCCGACTCCTGCGGCCCAGGCGGACTACGACCGTCGGGTCCTGGCGAGAGACGTGTGGAACTCCCGGGACGCTGCCGCCGCTCTTGCGCTGACGGAGCTCCTCCCCCCGACTGAGGCCGCCCACTTTGACTAGGTGGAGACAGCTCAGGGGGTTTGGGATGCTATTGTTGCACGCTATTCCACCCCTTCCTCTGCCTCCCTTAGTTGCCTCCTCATGCCGTTCGTGTTTCCCGAACTCGGCTCGTTTGCGACTTTGTCCGACCTAGTCACTCACCTCCGCTCACTTGACGCAGGTTTCCGTGCGGCCTGTACCGACGCCCAGCTTCTTGCTGCTCCCCCACCCATGTGGCTCACTGTGCACTGGTTAGTCACCCGCCTCCCTGACCGCCTTGCCACTGCTCGCGACGCGCTTCTCCAGAAGCACCCCACTGAGCTCACTATCGATCTCCTTGAGACCGCTCTCGGGACGATCGAGAGTAGCCTCCTCACCGTTGCCTCCGCCACTGACGCGGTGGCCCCCTGTCTCTTTGCGGGGTGTGCCGCCCCTCAGCTTCCCACTTTCACTGCTACCCGCGCTTCTGCTGCTGTGTCGGTTTCTGACGACACTGCTGCCGTTTCTGCCGCAGACTGGCAGAAACGGGGCAAGAGTAGCAAGAAGGGCGGGAAGGGGGGAGGTGGAGGCGGTGGAGGCGGCGGTGGAGGTGGCGGTGGAGGTGGGAGCGGCGGTGGTGGAGGCGGCGGCGGCGGTGGCGGCGGAGGAGGTGCACCGGAAGGAGGGGGCCTTGGAGGAGGTGCAGGACAGACAGGCCCGCCCATTGGCGGTGGCCCGACCAGTGGGGGTGTTGGACCCCAGCAGCAGCAGTCGCAGCAGCACCAGCCACAGCAGGGACATCAGCAGCAGCAGGGACCGCAGCAGCAGCAGGCACCGCAGCAGTTCCAGCAGTGGGGGCCCCCATTGCAGTGGGGTCCGCAGCAGCACTGAGGTCCCCCGTCGCAGTGGGGTCCGAGAGGACCAGGGAGCACCGGCCGCAGCGGCAGTACTTCCAGCTGGGCCCCTCGCCCCCCTCGCCGTGACACTGGCCCCTGCACCCACTGGTGCCTCACCGGACCGGGCAGCCCCTGTCTCTGCGGTCGCGACGACCACTCTGCCGTGCGGTGCTTCCGCCGCCTCGACGACCTCTACCGTGCTCGTTGGGGCCCTGCGGCGACCACGCCTCGCTGGGCTCACCTGTTAGCCCGTAAGATTGATGTGTTTGATCTGTCCATGGACGATGCTCGTCAGCATGCTTTGTATGCTGATGTTGACTATAGTGCTGATGGATTTGTGTGCTCGCGTGTTCGTAGATTAGCTTGCTTGCCTCGTGCTAGTGTAGACTTGTGCCTTTCTAGTCTAGGTGCTTGTGTTGCTGCTCTAGGTGCTTGTGTAGCCACTAGGACAGGTGACCCTCCGGCTGAGGGGTCCCTGTCCTTCACGCTGGACTCTGGTGCGTCTCAGTGCTTCTTCCGCGACCACACGACCCTCACGCCACTCCTTACTCCTGTTTCGGTAGCTCTGGCTGATCCTACCTCAGGACCAGCCGTTGCGCGTAGCTCCACTACCCTCCCGTGTCCTGTGGTCCCCTCTGGTGTCCTGCGCGGCCTTCACATCCCCTCGTTCACTCGGAACTTGGTGGGTGTTGGTTACCTCCAGGACAGGGGGATCACAGTTACCTTTGTGGGGGGTGGGAGGACTGCGGTCTGTACAGACGCTGCCACAGGTGCTGTTCTGGCCACGTTCACCAGGGAGCCCCGCTCCTGTCTCTACGTTCTCCACACCGAGCGCTCCCCGGTTGCGTCGTCCGCTCTGGTCGTTGCGTCCCCTCCAGTCCAGGTGTCTAGTCCGGTTGTTGTGTCTAGCCAGGTGGTCGTGTCTGGTACAGTTGCAGTGTCTAGTCCGGTCGCGGTGTCCTGTCTGGTTGCTGCGTCTTGCTCCTGTCGCTCCCTCACCCACCGGATCGTCTTGTGGCACCACCGCCTTGGTCACCCGTCGCTCCCCCGCCTCCGCGGCATGACCAGCCAGGGGCTTGTCACAGGTCTCCCACGCACCTTTCCGTCGCTCCCTACCTCACTTGCTCCCCCTTGCACTCCTTGCGTCGCCGGTCGCTTACGCGCCACTCCTCACTCCTCCTCCCTTCGTCCGGCCACTGCTCCCTTCGAGACTCTCCACTTGGACGTCTGGGGCCCTGCCCCGACGCAGGGATCTGGGAGAGAGCGTTACTTTCTGGTGGTCGTCGACGACTTCTCCACGTACACCACAGTGTTTCCTCTAGCGAAGAAGCCCGATGTGACTGCTACGCTGATCCGGTGGCTTCTGGCCACTGAGGGCACTCGTGGTCGTCGTGTCAGTTGTCTACACTCCGACCGTGAGGGCGAGTTTCGCTCCGGCATTCTTGGCGGAATCTGCGGCGAACACGGCATCGTACAGTCCTGGACGCTTCCGGAGTCCCCACAGCAGAATGGGGTTGCTGAGCGCCGCATTGGCTTGGTCATGGACATTGCTCGCACGTCCATGATCCATGCCCGTGCGCCCCATTTTCTGTGGCCCTACGTGGTTCGCTACGCCGCACACCAGCTGAACCTCCAGCCGCGCGTCTCGCGGCCTGAGCCTTCACCGACCAGTCTTTGGACCGGGTCCCCTGGTGTTGGGTCGGCCTTTCGTGTCGGGGGCTGCCTTGCGCTTGTTCGCGACACCTCCGCGGACAAGCTCTCGGCACGCGCCGTCCCCTGTGTCTTCCTTGGTTTCCCGGTGGACTCTGCCGACAGGTCCTTTTACCACCCTCCCCTCCACCAGTTCCTAGACTCCCGTGACGTCCAGTTTGACGAGTCCGTGTCCTACTACACCTGGTACCCCTGTCGAGGTCTCCCAGTACCCCCTCCCCCCCCTTTCCTCGCACCCTCTCCTCCTCATGCTCCCGCTCCTCCGGTATCCCCGCCCCCCCCTGGTCCTACCCCGTCTGGTGTGTCCCACGCTACCCCTCTACCCTCGGTCGAGCGTCAGGGAGCGTCTCCCTCCCCGCAGTCCTCCTCACAGTCCCCTCAGCAGCCTTCGGCACTACCACGACAGGTTCCTGTAGACTCGGTTGGTGTTGGAGCTGGAGGTGCAGCCGCTGGCGGTGCTCGGTCTGGGGGTGCTCAATCGAGGGGTGCTGGAGCTGGAGGTGCTGGCGCAGGTGGCGCTAGCTCTGGGGGTGCTGGAGCTGGAGGTGCTAGTTTTGGGGGTGCTGGAGTTGGAGGTCCTGGCACTGGAGGTGCTAGTTCTGGGGGTGCTGGAGCTGGAGGTGCTGGCACAGGAGGTGCTGGTTCTGGGAGTGCTGGTCCTGGAGGTGCTGGTCGTGGGGGTGCTGGTGCTGGAGGCGCTGGCACTGGAGGTGCTGGTTCTGAGGAGACTGGAGCTGGAGACACTGGTTCTGCGGAGTCCACTCCGCCTCCCCACTGCCACGACACGCGTCTCCAAGCGACCCGTCGGCGTGCGCGTGAGGAGCAGGTGGTGTTGGAGAGGGAGCGGCAGGAGTTGCGGCAGTTGGACCTGCTGGAGCAGCAGCAGCAGCAGCCGCCGCCGCAGCAGCAGACACCGCCGCCGCAGCCGCGCCCACCGCAGCTCCCTCTGGAGCGGCAGTTGTTCCCACCCGTGAGTGGCCTTCGGGCCCTTGGTCTTCCCTCCTCTCCTCCACGTTTCCTCCTCCTGACGACAGTCCGGCGGTCCGGTCTTCTCCTCCACCGCAGTCTCCTCCACCTGTTGTCCCACACTCTCGTGTCCGTCCCTGTCCTCCGCGTGCTCGTCACTCGTCTCCCGTTACCGACCTCCGCACTGCCCTCCTTTGTTCGTCTCTTCGTCGTCCTCCTCCTGAGTCCGTTCTCCCGTCTCCTCCTCCGTCCTCTCTCCCTTCCCCCCTACTCCTGTCACTGACTACTACCGTGTTGTTCGTCCTGTTGTCTCTCGTGTCCTCGCCACTCTTGTCACCGACTCTCGTTTCCCTCTGTCATCTGTCTCGGCTCTCACTGCCGCTGTCGCTGAGTTTGCTGCCGCCAGTCGCCTTGACTACACCACCCGTGTGGTGCCAGCTCTTCCCTCCCGTCCTCTGTCCGTCAGGGGTGAGTTTGCCCTTGGCTGTGACGTCCTAGAGGACAGAGAGTATGAGCTGGAGTACTAGGCAGCCGCTTCTCCCTCTGTCTGGGCCATGCTGCTATCCTCTGAGGGAGACTCCAACGCCCTTGACATACCGACTCCTCGTACTTACCGCGAGGCAGTGTCAGGGGCGTGGGCCTCACAGTGGAAAGCGGCTATGGCCTCGGAGTTAGCGTCTTGGAGATCCACAGGCACCTACGTCGACGCAGTTCCCCCTCCCAGGGCGAACGTAGTCGATGGCATGTGGCTCTTCAAGGTGAAGCGGCCGCCTGGTTCACCGCCTGTGTTCAAGGCGTGCTACATGGCTAGGGGTTTCAGTCAGCGTGAGGGAGTTGACTTCTTCCAGAACTTCGCCCCGACCCTGAAGATGACTACTCTTCGGGTGTTACTGCACGTAGCAGCACAGCGAGACTACGAGCTGCACTCCCTTGACTTCTCTACTGCGTTTCTCTAGGGCCGACTACACGAGGAGATATGGCTGCGCCGACCTCCTGGCTTCACTGACACCTTCCCACCTGGGACCCAGTGGAGCCTGAGACGGCCAGTCTACGGTCTAAGCCAGTCGCCCCGTGAGTGGCACGACACTCTTCGCTCCACGCTTTGTGACCTTGGGTTTCGTCCTTCCTCTGCCGACCCGTCGCTGTTTGTTCGCACTGGTTCCACTCCTTTCTTTATACTAGTGTACGTCGACGACTTGGTCTTTGCCACAGCAGACAGGGCAGCTCTGGCTCAGGTGAAGTCCGAACTGCAGAAGAGACACAAGTGCACTGACCTAGGTGAACTGCAGCGCTACCTTGGCCTGCAGATCACCAGGGACAGAGCCGCTCGCACCATCACACTGACTCAGTCACACATGGTGCAGCAGGTCCTTCGGCTGTTCGACTTCCAGTTCTCCACCACATAGCCCACACCTCTTGCGGTTGACCACAGACTCACTGGCCCTTTTCCGGACGAGCCCTTTGAGTCCAGTGGTCCCTACGCAGAGCTGGTGGGCTGCCTCATGTACCTGATGACTTGTACTCGGCCGGACCTCGCCTTTCCCCTCAGCATCCTTTCTCGCTTTGTTGCGATTGGGAGACACCGTCCTGTCCACTGGACATCTGCTGTGTGGGTGGCGAAGTACCTGGCGACTACATCAGGCATGGGGCTTGTGCTTGGAGGGACTCAACCAGTGGTGTTGACTGGTCATTGCGACTCTTCCTACGCTGACGACGTGGCGACTCAGCGCTCGACTCAGGGTTACTGTTTCAGTCTGGGAGCTGGTGCTGTGTCGTGGAGGTCTACGCGGTCGTCGTCTGTGGCTACTTCCAGTGCAGAGGGAGAGATCTACGCTGGTGCCATGGCGGCACAGGAGCTTCGCTGGTTGAACTTCTTGCTCGCCGACCTTGGTGAGCGGCCTCGCTCTGCACCGACCTTGTACGCTGACAACAAGGCCATGATCCTCCTCTGTCAATAGCCTCGACTGGAAAGCAGAGTGAAGCATATTGACGTGAGGTACTTCCTCCTGCGAGAGTTGCAGCGACGCGGCCAGGCACGCCTGGACTTTGTGGCCCCAGAGGCCAACACTGCAGATGTCTTCACCAAGGCCCTGGCGCTTGGTGACCACCACAGGTTCTGTGTGCAGTTGGGGCTTGTTGAGGTAGGCCCTCGGTTGCTGTAGTCTTGTTGCTTGCTCTGCTTGTTGTGCTTTCCTATATATATCCTAGTGAACTCTTGAACTGACCTTGTGGCCGCTTGCTTGCGCTCGGAATTTGTGTGGTGTCCTTGAGATCCACCCTGAGCTTGCTTTGCTTCTTGTCTTGACTGGTCTTGTGACCGTTTGTCTGCCTTGCTTGTTTTGATGCCCCTCACTTAACCTATGGGGGTGTGTCAACTATCATAGTTATAGGCTGTAGTGAGATGCATTCTAGAGGGTACAGATGTTAGGGTTTCCTATTTGTATCCAACACTTTGCTAGTTCATTCATTCCGTTGCATTCTAACTTTGAGATCTTCCTCGTTCTTAATGTCAAATGCATATAATTGTTATAGGCTGCAATGAGGTACTCCCTAAAGAGTATTGGAAACATATAGTTCGCGCTTCTGATGTGTCGAACGCTATAACAAGAACGAAGCAGACTCACAGCGAAGCAACACCGAGTCAACCAAGCCACAGCGAAACGGTTGACAAGGCGACAACAGCAGGAGGTTGAAGCGAAGGTCAAAGGTCAGCAACCTTTGACTTGACAAAGGCAGCGCGACAGCAAGGACAAATAACTTACTCGCTATTGAGCAGTTACCCGAGTCGTTGCTGTATCAAACCGCAATAGCAGTTACAACCGCAGTTAGTTAAACCTTTCATATTCCTTGTAATCATATAAAGCCCTGTATCTCTTTGCTATAATCAACTTATATTCTTCTCACACACCAGTGCAAGGTGGTTCAATCAGCCTTCATCAAACACTTCCGCCAATACATTACTTTGAGCCTAAGTCCTTGAAACGATCCTAAGGGCTTTTCTCAACCCAACATGGTATGAGAGCTAGCAAGGACAAGTCTCAACTATCTCCACTACCTACAACAACAGAAGACATGGCAACACAGAAGGAAAGGAGTTCATCCACTGGATCTCCTGGCACTACTCCTACTCCACCTCCAGCCTCTGGACTACAGACTGAAGGAGGTTCAACTCAGAGACCAGCTGCTGAATCCACTGAAGCGCGTGTAAACCAAGCAATCGGCTTCGACCCAAGCATGATGGAGAAATTATTCTCCTTCATGTCATTCTACGAACAGCAACAACAAGCGACACCTGCGCAGTCAAACAGCAGCGACAACAACAACGGAGTTACTCCCATGAGTCTTGATGGCTTCTCCTTTGCGCGCGGAAACCAGCAGCCTACCTTTGCACCGTATGAGCCCCAACGCGGCTCCGTCAGCTTCATGCCAAATCGACTTCCACCTGGACAAGAGACGAAGACACTGGATGCACTTCAAATGCAGTCACAATTCGCACACGTGCTGAAACTGCAAACGTCAACACCATTCGACGAGAAGGACTTCTATACCTGGTCCTTCGAATTCGAGCTGATGATGGAAGGCGCTCAAATTCTTGGCTTCTTCGACGGTTCCTTGCCATATCCAACGTCTGGAACACAGTACGACAAGCAACACTACACGTATCAGTCACTGATGGCGTACACTATTCTCCTGCGAAACTTAACGACAAACGAGCAGCAGAACATCCGAACTTATCGCGGATACGGTAACTCCGCCGAGCTCGCGTACCACCATCTGAAGAACTTGTATGAAGCAAACGACAGCGTGAATCAGAGTCGTCTCATGGCACAATTGACAACAGTCCATATGCAACCCGTTGAAAAGGGAATGGCTTATATTAGTTGCTGCCGTGGTCTACGCGACAGACTCCTTTGGTGTGGCGGAGCACTGCCCGAATACGCCTTCGTCACTGTCGTCATTGCAGGCCTCGGTCCTCAGTGGCACTCCACCCGGGCCATTCTCCGGGCCCACGGAAGACTCTCCGAAGCAAACCTCTGCGCAGAAATTCATGCCGAGCAACAAGATATGGACCTGCACGAAGAACGACACAAGAAAAGGGGATCAATACCAGAGTTCGCCTTCCCCACTCAGCGGCGCAACAACAACAACCGACAACACGAGGATCAAGCACGACGATACAAACCACCGTTCTGTCACCTCTATCGAACGTCATGACACTTTCGTGTTCACTGCCCGAATCAACAGCAATCAACGCCGCCACCACGTCAGCTTCGACCTTCAAGTAGTCAAGTGGCCTCCACACAGCCACATCCTTCCAACCAGACGCAGTCTTCAAGGTCAACGTCACAACCTGCACGAGGAACAAGAAATATCATAAGCTGCATGACAAGAACGGATTCCTGCATCAACGGCTTGCCACCGACTTACTCACCAGAACAACTGCTCGAAGAAAGCACGCCTCGTCGCGAATCACTGGAACCAAACCCGACATACGCGGCTATTGCACAGAGCGAAAAGTCCGGTCAAGATACTTGGTTCTTGGACAGCTGCTGCGAACAACACATGTGCTCTTCAAACCGCTTCGTTCAACGGGAACAACGCCTCAACCGGGACGTCGTGATAACCGTCGCCAACAACCAGAACCTGCGCACACGACGACAAGGAGTGGTTCAGCTGCAGTCCCGTGAAACTAACGTCATCCTGCAAATGTCAAAAGTTCTGATTGCAGAAGGACTCGGCTACAACTTACTGAGCGTAAGCCAGCTCATGGCAAAGGGAGTTCAACTCGAAGTCGACAGCACCACTCAGGAGTTCAAATTGTACCACGCAAGGGGCGGACTTTATATCGGAAAGGCGATTATGAAGAATAACGTCTTCGTCCTCGACTTCGTCCCAGATCAAGGTACTGCTGACAGCGACGCGATAGTCAACTTCACCACTTGGTCGCACCCGCCGGATCTCGACCCCGACTTCAGCCCCAAAGGTTTCTGGTACTCGCACACCATACCTGAAGCAGAACGGACAAGGGCGTTAGCAATGTTACAATAGACAACAGAAGCAGCAGCGACATCCGCAGAAGCAGAAGCAACAACAGAGACAACAGCACCAGCACCAATTGCCGGCCCTTCATCAGCACCATCTCCCATTACCGATACCACACCGACTCCCGCTCAACAGTTGACTCCCGCTCCACGCGACGTCCACAGAAGCGCCAACATCACTGCAGGCTTCTACTCCAACTCCAACCTATACAGACGTTCACCTGGACATCGCGCCGACGAATCACTGTGGCATCAAAGGTTAGGACAGCCCAGCAACACGACACTGAACAACACGATAAGAGTAGGAGTTCTCGACTTGGACTTGCTACTCTTACCAGAAGACAGCGTTAGGATATTTATATATTAGAGAACCTTGATATAATTGTGTGACAGAATAGTGCAGGCAGTAGGCAGTAGCGAGGATGAAGGGAGATAGGCGGGAACCAAACCCGAGGCGAGCTATTAGGAAGCGGGAAGTGGCAAAA